GCTGCAGCTCGGCCCCACGCTCAGGGCAGCAGTGGGCCAGGACGTGCTTCTCACCCTCAGGGAGCACATCCTACACTTCCCTGGGCCGCGGACTTTAAAGTCAGATGCTTTGAGGCTCAGACACGCAGGCTTGGAAATGCCTGGACAGAGGGGGCGTGAGCTCCAAAGCATCCCCGAAGCTGAGCAAAGCAGGAGCTGTAAGAGATCTTCCCTGGCTATCAAGGGCTACTTGGCCCGAGGAAGCCCAGCGGCCCACTCGAAGCCATTGTACCATAAACGCCCTTGAGAAATCTATCCCTGTGGGTTGTAGGACATGAAACACATAGTGGTAACTTTCCAGAATGCAGCCAAATCCCAGGGAGTAAGCAAACAGTGCCTCTAAGCCAGCGGTAGGCAAACTGCAGCTCGCAAGCCACATGCGGCTCTTTGGGTACGTTCCATCTCAAAAGTTTGCAAACCCCTGGAAGAGCCAATCCTGTCCTTCACAACAATTTAAAAATTATTTGAGAGCCATAGATATATTTTTACATAATCACCATTATGTGAATAATATCCTTTTTAAATGTTATAAATGAAACTATGATAGTTTTATTTTCATTTTCAATTTTACTTCAGAGCCGGCAACTTGGGAGCCACAGTTTGCTGACCCCTGGCAGCTCTTCCATCTCAAAAGTTTGCCAGCCCCTGATCTAAGCGATCAGAAACAGACATCTCCAGTCCACACACTAAGGCCCACGCAGACAGCCCCACAGGACTTCTGACTAACTCCCATTTGGGGTAAATATTAGCAATCTTGGTGCGTACAGATATGAAGTAAGGGCCCACAGGAGCAGGAAGACTGAGAGCGACTACTAGGGTGAGTGAAGACAAAGGCAGAGAAGCCATAAAGCAGACAGGAGACTACACAACATGCGCCAGGCTGGGGCTTTTGGTGTAGGGATGAGGGAGCTGCACATGCAGAAATCCCCCAAAGCCATCACTGGAGTTTCAGTGAAGACCTGAAACTAAAATGAAAATTAAATCAAATACTTTGTAATAAATGTAATCAAGGAGGTGAAACATCTGTACCCTGAAAATTATAAAACACTGATGAGAGAAAATGAAGAACACACAAATAAATGGAAAGATATCCCGGGTTCATGGATTGGAAGAAATTAATATTGTTAAAATGTGCATACTACCCAAAGCTTTCCACAGTTTTCACAGAAAGAGAAAAGGCCATCCTAAAGTTCATATGGAACTACAAAGGACACTGAGTAGCCAAAGCAATCTGAGAAAGAAGAATAAAGCTGGAGGCCTCACATTGCCTGATTTCAAACTATATTGCAAAGCTATAGTAATCAAAACAGCATGGCACTGGCATAAAAATAGACGCATTCAATAAACCCATGAAACAGAATCAAGAAATAAACTCATGCCTATATAGTCAACTAATATTTGACAACGGAGCCAGGAAGACTCAATGGGGGAAAGGATAGTCTCTTCAATAAATGGTGCTGGGAAACTGGATATCTACATGCAAAGAAATCGGACCCCTATCTTTTTTTTTTTGGACCCCTATCTTAACACCACTCACAAAAATTACCTCAAAATGGACTAAAGACTTAAATGTAAGATCCCAAACTGTAAAAATACTAAAAGAAAACCTAGGAAAAAATCTCCTTGACATTAAGCTTGGCAAAGATTTTTTTCATATGACACCAAAAGCACAGGCAACAAAAGCAAATATAAACAAGCGGGACTGCATCAAACTAAAAAGCTTCTGCTCAACAGAAGAAACAGTCAAGAAAATAAAAAAGGAACCCACAGAATGGGCAAAAATATTTGCAAACCATTTATCTGATGAGGGGTTAATATAAAATATATAAAGAACTTATACAATGCAATAGACAAAGAACCCCAAACAATTCTATTTAAAAATGGGCAAAGGACTTAAATAGGCATTTTTCCAAAGAAGACATATAAATGGCCAACAGGTACATGAAAAGATGCTCAACATCCCTAATCATTAGGGAAATGTAAATCAAAATCACAATGAGATTCCACCTCACACCTGTTAGAATGCCTATTATCAACAAGATAAGAGATAGCACTTGTTCTCCAGGCTGTGGAGAAAAGGGAACCTTTGTACACTGTTGGTGGGAATGTAAATTGGTGGGGCCACTGTGGAAAACAGTATAAAGATTCCTCAAAAATAAAACTAGAACCAGCATATGACCCAGAGATTCTACTTCTGGGTATTTATCTGATGAGAATGAAAACACTAACTTGAAATGATAACTGCACCCCCATGTTCACTGCAGCATCATTCACAACAGCCAAGACATGGAAACAACGTAAGTGCCCATGGACTGAAGAATGGATAAAGAAAATGTGGTGTGTGCCATATACAATAAAATATTCAGCCATAAAAAGGGAGGAAATCTTGTCTTTTGCAACAACATGGATGGACCTTGAGGTCATTATGCTAAGTGAAATAAGTGACATAGAGAAGACAAATAGGAACTTATTGTATGTTCTCACTTGTATACAGAATCTTAAAATGCTGAACTCATAGAAAGAGAGACTAGAATGGCGGTTGCCAGGGGCTGGGGGTAGGGGATGAGGAGAGATGTTGGTCAAAGGGTACAAACTCCCAGCTGTAACATGAGTAAGTCCCGGGAATCTAATGTATAGTATGGTGACTATAATTAACAATACTGTAGCATACACTTGAAAGTTGTTAGGAAACACACACACACACACACACACACACACACAAAGGAAATGATGTGAGGGGATGGAAGTGTTAACTAATGCTGTGGGAATCATTTTGCAACGTATCTGTGTATCAGATCATCACACTGTACATCTTAAGCTTATATGTGTTATATGTCAATAACATTTCAATAAAGCTGGGGGGAAATACTGCTACTAAATGAGACCTGACCACCAGGAAAGGGTAAACGGTGCTGACCCTGCCCTGCTGTACAGAGGAAGCAAAGGCAGAGGGCACTCTAGAAAGATTTCCATCCCATACGGTTACCAAGAAGTTAGGCACAGACAGGGATTGTCTTAGATACCAGGAGACTGTCCTGACATGTTAGAGTTCATTCCCTGGGGATTTTAGTTACTTAAAACAATTCATTTTGGGCACGCTCAGGGTGCTCTAGGTTTAATGAATGTCATGCCTCAAATTCTGAGGAAAAAAAAAAAAAGCTTTCAACTCCCTATTTCTCAACCAGTCTTTTGCTCCTTTATTATTCAAATCTCAGTTCCAGCAGAGAGAACTCTCCCAACAAATCTTGGGTTTTCAATTGGGCAAAAAATCCAAAGTTTCTGTTTTTAAAGGAAACATGTTATAGCAGTTTTGGGTAAATTACAAACTAGTCAAACCTACAGAGAAGCCCAGTGCTGACCTGTTACAGTTTCCATTATAAGAATTCACTCTTATTGCCAACCAAGCTCCAGAATTCTTACTTTTGAAATCTTGGTCGACATAAAAAAATGTATAGGCATTTGTGTTTTCTACTGGTACTTTCCTCATGTTGTATATTTAAAATGTTTCATCAATAGTCCATCTGGAGCTGATTTTTGAGATATAAATATCTAGCTAAGTTTCCTCCAAAAACTTAAGAATTTTTAACCCACAAGTTGACCTATTCTGGGAATTATTTTTCTCATTTTGCACTTTTCTATAGGATATAACATTATGGTCTAAATATGTGAACATCAAAAATAAAATGCTGGGGCTGGCCGAGTGGCGCGATGGTTAAGAACTGGCTTGGGATGCCAGAGAGCCTGGGTTCGGATCCCACATATGAGGGCCAGTGACACTGCCCTCTACAGCTAAGATGCTGAACATGGAGCTGGGCTGCCGTGAGTCGCCGGCGACGGCGTAGGCTGCAACCCCTACTGCAGTGGGTTGCCATGGGCTACCGTGTGTAGCCAGCAGCCAGCGTGAACGGCCAGCAGTGCTATGAGTGGCCGTCCAGAAGCCGGCGACTGATCTGCCTCACCCGGGAAGAGCGCAATGATGGTGCCAACTTGGGCCAGTGAAGCAACATCCTCCACAACTAGACTGAAGAACAAAACGACAGCAACTTGTCTGTTCCCCTTCCCCCAATTCCCCAATAAAAATCTTAAAAAAAACTAAAAAAAACAAAAAAACACAAAAATAAAATGCTGTGTATACTTATTTTCGTTTCTATTATCAATATTTAGTTAAATGCCTTAAACTTCTCACTAAAGTGCTCTATAGAGGGAATGGAAAAAAAATAATAATAATTCACTCTAGCCCAGATTTTGCCACATCTGAAAAACTGTTAACTTTCAATACAAAAATGACACCTGAAGTTGTCCCTTTAAATATTCTGACATCTTAAGGAAGGACAAAAATCTGGTCTGTTCCTTCCTAAAGGAGTCATTTGGCTGACTTTTTCAAGAGCCTCCCAGCAATGATCCTTTTTCCTCCATAATCCCCTGCTGGGTACCTCACTAGCTGGGGAGTCTGGGCAAACCACTATACCTCTCTGAGCCTCAGTTTCTTCATCCTTGTGAGGGGGATGACAAGCTCATTTTGGAAGGTTATTGTAAACATTTGCATTAACATCTGAAAAGCAAGGCAGTGGGCAGGTACTCGGTGAAGTTAGCATTTTATAGAGGAAACTGACACCTAGAGAAGCAGCTAGCCTGGAGGTCTCACATCAGGTAGCCCAAAGGAGACAGACATCAAAGCTCTGGCTCCTCTGATCTGGGCTTCTGTACAAGTTGGTGCTGCTCATGCCTTATCTTCTGCTGGAATATACCAGATTGAAGCTCATGTCCCATCTCAGAGATGGGAGGGAAACCCAAGGAACAATGGGAAGGTTCCAGTGGACTCCAGCGGCACATGCACCAAGCCATCCAAGGGCACACACCAGGGGCTGTGCTGAATGGACAGCGGGAAGGGCCCGTGAGTGGGCAGTGTCGGGAGCACGGATTTTCCCAGATGTTCTCACTCCCAGGAGGGCAGCACTTACTGTTAATGCCAGCATCACTTCTCTGTAGTTCCGGTTCCCGTTAAGCCGCTTCTTCAGGGCTCGAATGGCATCCTTTGGCCTGGAGAAAAGGACACATTAAGAGCCTTGCAAGGGCCGGCCAAGTGGCTCAGTTGGTTAAGAGCTCGCTCAAGAGTTTGAGCTCTGAGCAACAGCGGTTTGATTCCTGGCCCGAGCTGAGCAGCCGCTGAGCTGCCAACAGGTGGCAGGATGGCTCAGCTTAAAAAAAAAGAGCCTTGCAAATTACACGTTGGGGCACTTTCCTGTAGACTTCCTGCCATTTATGTGAACTAGCTTACGTACAAGGCTATTTGCTGCAGCATGTTTGTAAGTGTGAAAGGCTGGAAACAAACTAAATGTCCATTAGTATGAAACAGGTTAAATTAAATCATGTTTATCCATATGATGGAATACTATGCAGCTGAAAATAAGAATAGAGGCATTCCTTATGCACCAATATGGAGCACGCTCAAAGATATGTGAATAGAATCATTAGTATGCAGAGCAGAACATATGCTTCTATTTGAGTTATAAGACGACAACAAATACAAACAGACCAGCACAGGAAAGGGTGTCTTGGGAAACAGCCACACGAAGCTGGTGCCCCTTAGGAGGAGAGCTGGGTGACAGAGCAGGGAGAAGCGTTTTTCATTGGGTTCTATTTGCAGCCCTTTTGAATTTTTGTATTATTTATGCAAATATTGTTTATCTAAACAATAACTAATCCACTGGTATAGGTACAAGGAAGAAACCACAGAGAGAGATGAAGAAGAGAGAGTGGCCGGGCCTTTCCTGAGGCCTGCTCTTCCCCAGTTCCATGGGGCTCCTTTTTCCGAGAAAACGTAAGTTTTCTTAAAACCCAAGGAATTGTGTGCTTTTAGGTGATGGATCTGATGTGTAATCCCAGAGAGAATCTCACAGAATTACAGGCAGCCCCCAGTTTATAAGTGGGCCATGTTCAAAAGCTCGCTTTCATAAGCTGGTGATTTGGAACTTGGAACATTCACTTAAATTATGGTTTGAGCTGGGAGTAAGGGTTCCCAGCCAGCCCCCCAAGAGCACCTATTATGTGCAGCCTTTGTGTCTGTCAGGTTATTTAATTTATTCTAAGCCAGGTTTCAACAAAGGTGTGGGCCTCAGAGCCGCCTCTGGCACGAAGCTCCTGTCCCCTGATGCCCCATCACCTGCATTCCGCGGAGGCCCCAGTTCGGCTGCAGGCCTGCCTCTCGCTCTCATAAGTGGGCTCCAGCCTTCTATAGATCGACACGTCAATATACCTTGGTCCTTCCAAGGCTGAAAGTTGGTAAGTCAGGGCCCTCCTATTCCTACAGCTCTGAAATAGTTACTGTCTGTTTACCAACCGAAAAAGCCCTGTCCAATGTGTGTGAGGAAGCCGAGGAAGGGGAGGGTGGAAGCTCTGCTAATCAGCCCAATTTAGACGGAAACAGAGCAGTAAGGCAAGGCTTCGAGAAGGATTTTAAAAATACTTGAGACCTGTTTCCCATTCCCAACTTGAAATATGGCTGACTGTAGGAATTCCTGGCTCCCAAGTACAAGGGCTGATGGGATGAGGCTCTTGGGGGATGGGTCCCTGCCAAGTGTGTGCAGTATGGCTGCAGTTTCCAAACAGGAATGCTGATTTCTGCAAATATGGGACTTGACAAGCTCTCAGCATTGAGGACTGTTTGTGGACTTGAGCTGGTGAAGGTCAGTAGCTGCTGGTCAGGGAGCATGGATTGGTTTCCTCTCTCTCAAGGGCTCTGCCAAGCCATAGCTAGCCCTGACCCACGGCTGCCATCCCTCTCAATCTAGTCTCATTCCTCTCCCCTTGAACTTCCATGGAGCAGAAAAACGGGAACGGCCTCCAAGGGCTGCCATCATTTATAGCTCACAGAGCAGAGCACACTCAGAGCTCTCCCGGTGCAGGGGTGATGGTGGTAGAGGGAAATCAGAGAGTCAGCAGGCTCCTGGGCTGGAGTTAAAATGAAAATTCATTCTCAGGAAGTGCTGCCTGGAAGTGACTGGGTGAGCACAAAAGCAAGTATTTATCTCTCTCCCTGGGGGAGAAGCTTCAGAGAGGAGGATCAAAAGCATGTCAGAGGAATTGCAAAGTTTTAGAAAGCAGCAGCAGATTTGACAGCGTGGAGCTGGAAACAGGGAGGACGGAGAGAAGGAGGAACCAAGATGGAGCAGGAAGAGCCAGGAAGGAAGGACACCTTTGAGATGCCTGGACAACCGGGCAGCTTTCGGAGGGAAGGTCAGGCCCCTCAGGGCAGCCCCCAGGGCCTCAGCTCTGGCCTTGGGGCCATCCGCAGCCTCCCCAGGGTCACCTCAGACTGAGACTCATAACAGCCTTCTTTCCAGTCACACTAATTTCATCTTGTCCGTCAGCTCCAGAAACACCACTTCTGAGATGTTTCCTCCTTGTTCTCGCGGAAGGACATAGCTGCCTCCCTCACCCTGAATGCCTCCTCTCTCCCCCCACCCCAGCTACTATTGCTGCTCCATTTCATTTATCCAGTGGTGACTCCTCTGCAGCCCCTCCATCTTAGAGGCTGGAGCACACACAAAGCTTCAGTGAGCGGGGAAAGGTCTGGATATGGTCCTGAACACGACCCAGGCCAGTGGATCCTCCTCAGAGCAACCCATCGGAACCTGAGAGCACTTACCAAATCCATGTGCCTGGGCCCTGACTAGGTAGGCGTGAGTGAGGCCTGGTAAACAGGGTCTAAAACACTCCTGCGTAGGCTACTCAGCCCAGCACACCTGGCTAATGACCAATGATCCAGGCCCCAAGGGACTGCCATACAGGGCCTCTGGCTGGAGGTGACCTAGACAGTAGGGACATCCCAGGGAGGGACCTGTGGGGTGCCCACCAGGACCCCAGCCTTCCAGAGGTACAGCTTTGACTAAATAAAAGAAGTGCAGGCAGAGCATCCGTGGGTGGAGCCAGCCTGCACTCCGCATCTGCCCGTCCTAGCTCTGGTGTGAGATTTTGGGCAAGTGGCCAAACTGCTCTGGGCCTCAGTTTCCTCAACATGAATATGGACTGTTCCTACCTCATAGGGCTGTTGGTGGGAGGCAGGATGTGCTGCATGAGCTGGTACAATCCAGGGCTCAGGACGGGGCCTAGCACAATGCAAGTGCTCAGAGAACGGCAGGCCGGGTAAGGGCAGTGAACCCATGATAAGTACTATTGGTACCTCCATTTGTTAATGAGGAAGCTGAGACACAGAGAGAGTAAGTGACTCTCCCAGGGTCACACGACAAGTGAGTGGAGGACCTAGGATTCCAGCCCAGGCTGGTGGCTCCAGGCCCCATGACCCTAATGCCACTCCCCCTTCCTATGTTGTACACACTGCCTTCCAGCCTGCGTGTCCACCTGCATCCCCTCACGTGGTGACAGGAGGCTCCATGTGGGTGTCACCTCCTCCAGGAAGATTCTGAGGCTGACGGCCCCAAGATGGGCCAGCTGCCATTGCTCTAGTGTCTCTCCTGCTGGCTCTATAAGCTTCTCTCTCAGAGTGCTTGTCACGCTATGTTATGATTCTGCTCACATGCCTGCATTCCTCATATTGACTTCATTCATTTACTCGCTTATTTAACAAATGTTTGTCAAGAGCCAATTATATGTGTACTATGCTAAGTGCTGGGGATACAATGGTGAGCAAAACAGAATTTCTGCCCTCATGGAGTGCGCTGTCTAGGGGGCTTTGGGGATGAGACAGGCACTCTAACAAATGTCACACGAATAGTTTAAACTGTGATGAGTTTAAGTATAATAAAGAGGATTATGAAATCACATAATGGGGGACTTGTCCAAATCAGGAAGGAGCGGTGTCAGGGAAATGAGGTTCTAAATGAGATGCAGTGAATGATAGAACTAGTCAGTGAAAGGTGTGGGGAGGGGCAGAAAGAACATGGGCTCCAGAGCTCAGAAGCTGGAAGGAGTGGACAGGGAACCAACCATTAGCCAGTCTTGTGGGGAGGAGTTCTAACAGTCGCCTCATAGCAGAGGAAAGGACAGGAAAACCCCAGCCAGCGCTGAGGGGCTCTCACTTAAAATGCAGGATTAGGCGTGTGACCCAGTTCAGGAGGAAGGAGCAGGAGGATTGTGAAAAGCAGCTGACCCAGCTCTCAGGCCCCCAGAAGGAAGCCTCGTTCCCTTTGGAATGAACAGCCTCCATCCACACATTTGTAGGTATGGCCCTCACATTTGTGGAGAATTACAAACTGGGTACAGCGGGCTAACAGGTGAGGACAAGGGGAGAGGCCCCCAAAGGGAGTGGCAGAGGAACCCATTATCCTGCAGGGTTTGCGAAGGATCTTTACCCTGGGAGGAGGCTTATTAGCAAGAGAATAACTTCATGAGTTCTGAGTTTCTAAAGGCCCCTCTGCAGGCCACATGGACAATGGACAGAGGGATAGGGGCAAAAGTAAATGGACTGGGCCGGCCGAGTGGCACGTTGGTTAAGAACTGGCTTGGGACGCCAGAGGGCCCCGGTTTGGATCCCACATATGAGGGCCAGTGACACTGCCCTCTACAGCTAAGATGCTGAACAACAGCTCAACCTGGAGCTGGGCTGCTGTGAGTCGCTGGCAACGGTGTAGGCTGCAGGCCCTGTGGCAGTGGGTTGCCATGGGCTACCGTGTGTGGCCAGCAGCCAGCGTGAGCGGCCAGCAGCCGCAGTGAGCGGCCGTCCAGAAGCCGGCGACTGATCTGCCTCGCCCGGGAAGAGCACAATGATGGTGCCAACTTGGGCCAGTGAAGCAACGTCCTCCACAACTAGACTGAAGAACAAAACGACAGCAACTTGTCTGTTCCCCTTCCCCCAATTCCCCAATAAAAAACATTTTAAAAATCTTAAAAAAAAAAAAAAAGTAAATGGACTGCCCAAGAGTACAGCCCCACTCAAGAGGATGACGCAAGAAGAAAGCTCTTTACATCCTGATCTTTCCGGACTGCCCTCCCCACTCCATCCCTGCACATCTGGACCACCTGTATACCCACTGCATTGCCCTCTTTACGCATCCTTTGGCCACACGGCACACTTCTCCTCTCCTGCCATCCCGGAGGCTCAGCCCCAAGCCCAGCCCTCCAGGAGGCATCCCCTGCTTTTCCCTCTGAGTCTGCAGCCGTGGGCATGCGCCTCGGTCACAGCCCACCTGGTCCTGCCCTGTGAGTGCCTCAAGAGTGGCCGCGGTACACTTACCTTGGCATCTGGAACCAGCTGGGCCTCCAGCCATGGTAAGTAAATGTGGCTGAGTAAATTTACCTGAGCAACTAGGTAAACGAATGAATGAGTGGCATCTGAGGGGGATGTGAGGACGAAAGGAGCGCAAGTGGGTCTGCAGGAAGACAACCAGTGGGAGCCCAGTGACATGGCGTTAGGAGTGTGGCGTTCCCAATTGCAGAAATAGGCCATCTTTCATGGAGACTCCTAGGTGCTCATCTCCAGCTCAGGTCACTGCCCCAGCTCCAGACCCTCTGGCGGCTCAAGCTGAAGGATTTAGCTGACCTGCTGATTTCTGTACCCCAGCCTGCTCCATCCCTGTTATTCTGGACTTTTCTCTCATGCCCACATTGGCAAATTTCATAGGTTCCCCTTCTAAATCTGAGGATCTGATCATTTTCTCACTCCCTGCTCTGCTATCATCCCAGTCAAAGCTGCCATCACCTCACACCAGGATTACTGTGATAACTTCCCACCTGGTCCCTGTTTCTGCCTTTGGCCCACCCCCAGCCAAGCCACTGTGAACATGGCAGCCAGAGTGACCTCTTTAAAATGAAAGTTAGACCATGCCCCTTCTCTGCCCAAATCCTCTGAGGAATTCCCTGAAGTCAAGCCTGAGGCCCCACGGTGCCTGTATTACTGGGACCCTGACATCTCTAACCTCAGCCCCTGGTGCCTTCTTCTTCGCTCACTCTGCTCTGGCCCCACTAGCTTCCTTGCTGTTTTTCAAACACATCAGATACCCTCTGTCCCAGGACTTCTGTGCTTGCTGTTCCCTCAGTTGGAAAGTTCTTCTATGGTATAATCGTCACATCTCAACCCCTCATCTCCTCATCTCCTTCAGGTCTTGGTTCAAGGTCACCCTCAGCAAGGCTTTCCTTGATTACTCTATTTAAAATTGCTAATTCCGGGCCAGCTGAGTGGCTCAGTTGGTTGAGAACTCACTCAAGAGTGCGAGCTCTAAGCAACAGGGTTGCCAGTTCGATTCCTGGCCCGAGCTGAGCTGCCACTAAGCTGCCAACAGGTGGCAGGATGGCTCAGCTTGAACAAACAAATAAACAAACAAAAAATAATAAAATGGCTAATTCCCAGCTGTCTCCCTCCCTAGAGAAATGTCACTGGCTGACCACGTTATGTGTTCCAGTTATGTTGGTCATGGCCTGCCCCCCAACTCTGGCCTGTCGGCCAGGGAGGGAATCTGCCCATCCTGTTCACTCTGTGTCCCCAGAACTTACTCAAACGAGGGCCTGACAAAAGGTCATCACTTAGTACAGATCTGTTGAATCAAAGCAGGACCAACCTTAAGAGGCTGGTCCCTAGTTTACACATGACAGGGCTGTAAGTGACAGTGTCACGATGCAAGCTCAGGGTGGCCTGAGCCCAGACTGTTCTCCTCACCACTCTGGAGATGGCTCACGACGGTGTGGTGACGTAACTTCCGTTTTCATGGTGTGTACAGAGGGCCAAACACAGACCACTATGGAAGAAGTCTAACTAGCGTGAAGCCATAATGTAGAAGACAAGGCTAGATCGTGCACAATAACAATAAGAACAGATCCAGCAGCACAGGGATAGGAGAGGGGCAGCCTGTGGGTTCAGCCCACCCAAGCCAGAAACACTCAGCTGCTCTGCACCACATGCTCACTTTCTCACTCCCAGCCTCCTCTACGGACACTGTGGGCTCTCTCTGACTGCTGGGCCCCCCGTTCAGCAAAGCAGGGCAGACAGCCTCATACTTGCGAAGGGGAGGCAGAGGTCGGCCAGGAAGGGCAAGACCAGTGCACGAGAACTGGGGATCAAGTAACCAAGCAACTTCATTTTCATTTGTGATTAAAAGCAGGTTATTAAAAGAGGCTGTCACTGCTCTAACTCAGCACTGCCATTGGGAAGTGGGGGCAGAGTAGATGGGAAGAGGAAAGATAATTAAGAGTGTCAGCATAGTAACTGCCAAGGCAAACAGACTAAAGACAAAATGAAGAGTAAAATGCCCGACAGGCTTTGAGTGACACCCAGGAGCTGATTAGTGTCATGGCAGGGCGTGGAGGAAACACACATACCCTTCCTCCGTCTCATTGATGATGTCACAGATCTCCATGTTCAACGTCCAGTCCTCACTTTGCAGGGAGCCATCTGTTGCCTTTTCTGTAAAGTCAGACAGAAAACTGGTTTACATTTCTCCTTGAGCAAGGGGGCCTTGGCAGAAACACAAAGGGACCAGAACCACCACATTCTCCTCCCAAACGGATGCGCTGAGCCAACGGGGCAGTTCTGGGAGGTGCTGCTTTCACAACAGAACAGCCAGCGAGAGATCTGGGCTGAAGATTGATGTCATAACACTGTCCTTCACTCACCAAACTCCAGGCTGGAGAGCTCATGATAGGTCTAAGCTATTAAAAATCACCCCAAACAGATGCTGTAGTCAAATTACCTGGGTTTGAATAGAGGCTCCACCACTTACTAGCTATGTGATCTTGGGCAAATTACTTAACTTTCTATGTACCCAATTTCCTGATTTGTAAACTAGTGAAAAACAATAGTACCTACCCCATAGAGCTGTTATGACAATTAATGGGTTAATATATATGTAAAGCCCTTGGAACAGACCCTGGCACTGAGTCAGCACCATTAGGTATTTGCCATTATAGTTATTAAAAATCAACTTCAAGGGCCAGCTGAGTGGCTCAGTTGGTTAAGAGCTCGCTCAAGAGTGTGAGCTCTGAGCAACAGGGTCGCCGGTTCAATTCCCACATGGGGCAGTGACGTTGCACCCAAGCTGAGTTGTTGCTGAGTTGCCAACAGGTGGCAGGATGGCTCAGCTGGTGTAACAACAAGATTGCCTGTTCGATGGTGAGCTACGCCCACCCGCAACTAAGACTGAACTCGGCACCTTGAGCTTAGAGGCCACGAGCTGCCTACCGGAAACCAGATGGCAACTGGCGCCCTCCACAACGAAGATTGTAGAACAACAACTTGGCTGGTCCCCTTCCCCAATTCCCTAAAACTGTTCACCTCCCCCAATTCCCCAATAAAATCTTTTAAAAAATCAACTTCAAGGGCCGGGCGAGTGGCTCAGTTGGTTAAGAGCTCGCTCAAGTGTGAGCTCTGAGCAACAGGGTTGCTGGTTCAATTCCCAGCCCGAGCTGAGCTGTCGCTGAGCTGCCAACAGGTGGCAGACAATCTCAGCTAAAAAAAAAAAAATCAACTTCAGTAGTTAAAATCTACATCTCAGGTAAGGGGGAGGTAGTGGCACCATCGTTTTTTAAGTCACAGCTGGGCATGGTGTTTGGTGCTTCATGTACAGTATTTTATTTCATCTACAAAATGACTTCCTGACCATTCAGTGGGAAAGGACAGTTTTTTCAACAAATGGTCCTGGGAAACTGGATATCCACATGCAGAAGAATGAAGTTGGGCTCTTATCTTACACCACAGACAAAAAGAAACTCCAAATGGACAAAAGATGTAAACCTACAAGCTAAAACTTTTAGAAGAAACATAAAAGAAAAGCTTCATAACACTGGATCTGGTAATGATTTCATGTATATGACACCGAAAGCACAGGCAACAAAAGAAAAAAATAGTTAAATTGGACTACATAGAAATAAAAAAAAACTTCTGTGCATCAAAGGACACAATCAACAGAGTAAAAAGGCAACTTACAGAATGGAAGAAAATACTTGCAAATCACATATCTGATAAGGAGTTAATATCCAGAATATATAAAGAACTCTTACAACCCAACAATAAAAAACCCAATTAAAAAATGGGAAAAGGACCAGAACAGACATTTCCCCACAGATATACAAATGGCCAATAAGCACATTTAAAAAATGCTCAATATCACTAAGGATTAGGAAAATGCAAATCAAACCACAATGAGATACCGTCTCACACCTATTAGGATGGCTGCTATCAAAAAAACAAAATATAACAAGTGCTGGCAAGGATGTGGAGAAATTAGAACCCGTGTGCACTGTTGGTGGGATTATAAAATGATGTAATTGCTATGGAAAGTAGTATGTCAGTTGCTTAAAAATTTAAAAAGAATTACCATATGATCCAGCAACTCGACTTCTGGGTATACACCAAAAAGAATTGAAAGCAGGGTCTCAAAGAGACATTTGTACACCCAGGGTCTAGCAGCATGACTCACAATAGCCAAAGGTGGAAGCAACCCAAGTATCCATCAATGAATGAATGGATAAACAAAATGTGGTGTATCCATACAACGAAATATTATTCTGCCTTAAAAAGCAAGGAAATTCTGACACATGCTACAACATGGATGAACCCTGAGGATATTATGCTAAGAGAAAGTAGCCAAATAGAAAAGACAAATAGTGTATGATTCCACTTATATGAAGTCCCTAGAATAGTCAATCATAGAGACAGAAAGTAGAATGGTGGTTGCCAGGGGCGGGGGGAGTGGGAAACGAAAGTTGTTGTTTAATGGGTGCAGAGTTTTGGTTTTGCAAGATGAAAAAGTTCTGGAGATTGGTTGCACAGCAATGTGAATGTACTGAACACTTAAAAATGGTGAAGATGGCAAATTTTATATGTATTTTAACACAATTAAAAAAAATTTTAAATAATAATTAAGAGGAGCCTCCGAAGGTGGGCGTTATTCCCTTCCACATTTAAAAAGAAGGAAATAAGGTTCAGAAAGAGTTCCCTTTCTGAGAGTACTTGGTCGGGATCACAGAATTAAATTGATGGTTCCGATGGTCCATCTGAGGTCTGTCTGTCCCTGGAGCTGAGGCATCTGCCCCCACTCAGCAAATGTGGAGCTGGGGTCTGAAGGTCATTATCTTAGATGAATTCTAAACCTGCCCCATCCTAAGTACAATTCATGAGAGGGATACCTTCACCACAGTTTTAACAAAGCTTCATACAGCTCACACTGATGCTCAAATAATAAAACAGATGACCTCTGTACACACTGGAGCGGCCTTGTTTTGCTGGAGGCAGCTATGGAGAAGTGACACTTGGTTTTTACATACATATTAGAACTCACACAGCCAAACAAAGGCTGTACTTACAAGCAGTGACAACACACTCCAAAAATATAGCTATTGCTCAAAATATTCTTGCAACAGTCTTCAGCTGGCATTAGAAAGCCTCATTGTTTTCATTTTTATCAAAAAATAAAGAACCCAAATTTTCACCCTCTTTTATTCATCACCCTTGGCACCCAAAGACTCTTCACTCCGTGAAGATGCAAACCCACCACAAAGGGTGAGACTGCCTCAGATGAATGGCATGCATGCAGCAAACTGGGCAGGGCACTGGGAAGGCTCTGAGATTCATGGAGTCCTTAACCAAAGTCCACAGATGGTGCCAGTCTGGCAGGGACGGAGGCAGTGTTTGATGTCTGCCTACAAGGAGAGGAAAGAGTGTGTGGGAGAGAAAGGATAAGAACCCACGTCAGAGACTGCTCAGAGCCAGACAGGCCCCCGAGAAGCTGCACCCTTGCTCCTCCCGCTGCATGCATGTGAAAGAGGGGCCACAGCACACAGCCAGTGCTTGGCACCGCTGGGCCTACAGGGAAAATGAAAGCCACGGGGGTGACAGTGTGTGTGTGTGTGTGTGTGTGTGTGTGTGTGTGTGTGTGTGTGCGCGCCCCAGGGTGGGAAGGGGAAGATAGGGGTAGGCACCCAGGAAGAATGGCTCAGGGCACCAGTCTAGTCTAGCGAAAAAGAGGCTGAGGGCAGAGACTATGGGAAAGCATAGGGGGCAGCAGGAGGCGGTATGTAGCAGTGGGCACCAGTGGACTTCCGTCCCGAAGGCTTTGCCCAGAGGCAGAAGAGGCCCTCCTATGTAGGAGGCTGCTGCAGGCTCCTGGGCCAGCAGGTGTGTGGGTGAAATGCTGTGCCTCCAGCTCCCTGCTCTATGTGTCACACTGTCTCTGACACCCCACCCCACCCACACACACACCCATTCAAGGTGTCCTCCCAGAAGAGGTGACCAATCCCAGAGCCACACACAATGGGGGAGTGCCTAGGGTCACAAACGCAGCGGCTTCAGGAGAGGCCAGTCCTCATAAAACTGCACCACCTGCAGGCCTGGGCCTGTGACTCGCCTGAGCCAGCGTGGAAAGAGGCCAGCTGGCCAAAGGGCCCTCCTGCACTTGTCTCTGTCCCTTTTGCAGCACAGACTCTCACGGGAAGAAAGGACTGAGACTACACTCTGCTAGGGCCACAGGGACACTGCCTTGGGAGGCTTAATAGAGAAAATATTAAATCAATGAAACCTCATTTCCAAGTTCGGTTTAGCAGCAGAATCCATTAACCTTATATTCACCCTCTCCCTTTCTCTGAGAATACCGGGAAGAGTTCAAAGGCATGAATACTTATCCTCAGGGTCAGCACTTTCTATTCCATTATTGGCATTTTGCTTTTTCAAGCTAAAAGATATATACTTGTTTTGATTGTAAAGAACCAACCCAAAAAAGAATGCTTCTTTCTTTTCATTTTGCTGGGAACGCCACACAAACACTACCGTGGATACTTGGCTCTGGTAAAACAAATGAGGAAAGTAAGGCCGACAAAGGGGCTCAAATAGGTTCTTATTTTTCTCTCCTCATAAAAGAATTCCCAGCAATGGGAACAAAGTTGTATCTGATTGCCCCTGGAACTACAGCCACTCAGTGTGGGCTCCCTCACTTGGTCCTGTCCCCAGGTCAGAGGAAACAAAATTCAATCTCATTTCTTTGGTCACATAATTGTCAAAACCTGAAATAAATCCTGGCGCAACAGCAGAAACACAACGCTCCAGGGAGCAATGAGGCAAGTCATTCCTACCAACCAGCCCACGGGATGGATAAAGATCAAAACACAAGTGACCCTGGCTGCGAAGGGCTGACCTCTCAGAGGTGTTGGTGATATACTGATGGCCAGGGGCAGGGCAGGGCAGGGTAGGGCAGGGCTGGGCAAGACTGGGCTAGGCAGGGCTGAGCAGAGCAGGGCTGGGCAGGGCTGGGCAGGGCTGGGCAGGGCTGAGTTAGGGCTGGGTAGGGCTAGGCAGGGTAGAGCAAAGGTGGGCAGAGGGAGACACAACTACCATTAAACATTCAGTGCAAGAGAGTACGTCATCCTGATGCTGTTGCCATGACATTTTCTCCATTTAGAAAATGTTGCCTCCCG